GTCATTGAAATCTTGAAGACATGTGCCTTTCATGAATGATTCAGGGCGTGGAATGAAATGCAGATCAGCAAGCCCAATTTAACAGGTTTAAAATATTTAATGCATTGGTAATCACCCTTCTGTAATGATGACCAGACTATATTTAAAGCAGTCTCCAAATTGGGAAATGAAAAGCTCAGTCTCTGCTTATGCTTCATTCTCTTGAATTGTTTTGATTTGGAAATTAAAAGTCTGTATCTATTCTGCTGATGGGCTTAATTTCTAACCATATTGGATCACAGATGCTCCTTTTTAAACCACTCTTATTCCTCTTGACCTATTGTGGGACTCTAAGGCTGTCTGCACTGTAAATGATATCTCCCATATCATAGTGAATGATGATCTCTTTCCTATGCTATTGGAAAAATATTGCATTCCTTGATATTGCTTAAGCTTAAATGCCTTTTATTTTTATGACGCTCGAATATGAATGTTGACTGCTCTATTTTTGCAATTTAAGGAGAGCTTTTTTTTATGCATCTGTTGCAAACGACAAATAAGAGAGCCAATTACTGTCATCCATCTTTGCTAATTCCCAAAAGCTACGGGATCACCGACATCATTTCCTGCTGTTACCAGTTGCTTGTCACCAAGAGTCTTGAACAATGTCCAGAGCTAGGGCAAATTAAAGGTGTGAGCTTCAGTCTGCCAGGGCAGGGTGGTATCCTTCAGCTGCAATTAGAAATAACAGAGAATTTCTCATCTCTTGCTTGGTGTGTTTGCCTTATAGCATGAAAATATTAATAGTAAAGAACCGTCTGCATGACAACTTCAGATACCTGCCAAGCTTAATTATATAAGCACAGTTGACAGTAAGGCTAGGTTTTTTCTTAAAAAAAAAAAAAAAAAAAAAAAAAAAGTTTGAGAAGTGAAATATATGTTAAGCAAAAACTTTGCAACAGTATTTATAGGAATTGTTTTTCTTCATGCATCAAAAGTATTTAGTGGAGATTTTAATGCTAGTAATGTTGAGGAGAAATAATCTTTATTTCCTTGATAAGCATATGAGAGTGACAGAGCATTACAATTTCCTTCCACATTTTTTTATGCGAGTTTATGTCCTTTAATTTTCAGCTGAGAGGGTGATGAGTGGGGGGTAGGCTTTTTTAAGGTATACATTTAAGAGTTTTTATGTCCTTGCTATTTAAGTTCGCATCACTGAAAACGGGTTTATAAATAGTCTTCACAGAGCAGAGTGCAATTAATGCCTCAGTTTGGAAATCTTCTCTAATAAGGACAGCTTGTGCCTAACACTAAGAAGGTTCTTCAGTCCCATTGATCTGAGTGAGCTTTCAGCACAAGCCTGAGTGCCTTCCCTTGCCTGACAGTGTTGTGGATCTGATTCTTCAGACAGTTGTTACTGTTTATTTTCTGCTAGGAATTAGGTTTCAAGATTTTTCCACCCTACATGTGAGGAACTGTGACACCAATTTTAAAGCAAAATCTTTTTCCCATTGATATGATCAGTGACTATGCTGCTGAAGTTACTGTCCTTATTGTGGACTTTTATTAGAAGCTGCCCAAGTTCTGACCGTTCAGTGCTGAAACGGAACCAGTTGAGGCACTAACAAGGAGAGTTTGAATATCAGGTATCCTGACTGTGAGATGTTCCTAAAATCTAGAGACAAACTCTGAGGTGAGTGACAGCAAATTAGATGTTAGCTGCTTTATGGCAAGTTACCCAAGCCTGCTCCAGCKCATATAATAAAAAGCAGATTTCTCCCAGTCAGAAGTGGTTCCCACATTTGTTCTGTCTCATCTAAAAGGGACTCTTTGTGAAATGAGTTATGATATTACTTGCCTGGCTGAACCGTGGGTGAACAGCGTGTTCTGGGCTATATCTGTGGGTGAAACGTGACTTCTGCAGGAAGTGGGGCTTCCTTTTGAGACACTGGTAGAACAGAAAATGTCTCTGTGAATGCTTTCTGTTCTGAGGCAAGTGAGAATTTTCTCAGGAAAAGGGTGGCATGGGCTTAGATGTATTTCTCCTGATTTTTCACACTCTCAATTCTGTTGGGAACTGTCAAATGGATTTGTGGCAAAAGCTGATTTCCAAGCTCTGTCCTGCTGTATGAGCCTTGCTGAGGGCAGGCTGTCCAAGAGCCTGGGACCCTGGGTTTTCTGGATTCCCTTTTTTAGAGTTGGGAGTCTTGAGACTAGAATCAGGAGACGAGCTGTGTCCTCAGCTCTGTGACATGCAGTGAGACGTCCACCCTGCCTCAGATGTGATCACTGATGGATCTCAGGAGGTTCACAGTGGATATGACACACCATCAGTTCTCGGAGTACCAAAAATGTCTGACAAAAGACCAAGATGCCTGACAACCTGAGATGTAAAGGGAATCCCAGACGTCCTTTTCTTCAGARGGGAGGGTTGTAACCAATGTGTTGTGTATGTTTTGCCATAAGCAGGATGTCAGTCATTGTGGCCCCCCATCCTGTAAGACTCCCCGAAGAGCTATGGCAGCCAGAAGCCTTGATTTCTATTGGGGAAAAAAAAAAATGGACTATGTATTTTGCCTTTCCCTGAGGCATTTTAAAAATCTCTGGCAAATTCAGAGCGCTGACCTATTCTCTCATCTGCATTGGACTGAAACTTTAGAAGCTAACCATAGCTAAGATTAAATGTTGTTTAGAAATGGCTATAGCAGAGCTGGAAAACATTGTGAGATGCGTTTACAGGAACAAGTCTGTGGTAAATGCTCRGGTGCCAGAGGCTAGATAAGATCATTTAGCATGTTCAAATTCTCCAGTGGAATTAAAGCTGGAGAGGATTACTGCTGCCTACTGAACTGCCAGTGTAATTTGTTACAGCAGGTTGGTATTTCTTGGCAATTTGCAATTAAGTACTGAATTGTCACCTTCCAAATTGTTCTGGAAGACCTGAAAGGGTCATGACATATGGTATGATCTCTCTCAACTGGCAGGCAGAAGGTGATATTTGAGGATTATTATAGCTCTCTGCTTTTGACTGATATGAAGGATTGACTTGGTACGAAGAAGCAGATATGCTAGTAGCTGTTATTCTTCCAGCAGAGTAAATATAGAAGGTTCAATTGTTCATTTTAAATAGAAGCTCCTCTCTTGTGGTCTGCCTTTTAATGTTGCACAATATATTTGTACATATATCCATGCATTAATTTGAATAAATATAATTTATTTTTTTCTTTAAAAAGGTAAGCAATACTAAAAATGTGAATTTAGATCACAGCAATATGGAGTGGTGATTATTTTTTAGATATGTCTTTGATTGAAAACTCTTTGTTCTCTCTAATGAAACAAACCACCAAGACAATCTTCCTGGGCACTACTACATTCCTTTAAGAACTTGAATTTTGCCTGAGTTCTATTTTTTCTTTCAGGCACTGCTGTGTTTTTACAGCAAGTGCTTCAACAACATCTGTTTTGAAAAACAAGCCTGTGACATCTCCTGTGTAATTCAGGGAAGCTGTTGTCAAAGGGTGTGTTTTTTGTTATTTTTTGACGTTTTTTGCATATTAAGCTTACTCTAGTGGTTGAAAGCAAACAGTTTGATAAATGGGGATCATCCCATTTAAATGGGGAAATGGAGACCCTAGTCCCTGCCTGTTTTCCTCAAGGGATGGCCCTGATGTATTTGATTTGTAAGTAGTAAAGCTTAAAAATGTTCTTCTCTTAAGCATAAGGAATAGGTAATTTCTTTGTCCAAGCTGTTTGGAACTTAGTAAGTTATTAATAGCTGAAGGTATGGAATCACCAACTCTATATAGAATATGCAAAAAGAGAATGTAAAGCTTTTATTATTATGGAAAGCCTGCTGTTTTTAAAAACAATGGCTTTAAAAAGCACTGATGTTTCAAAATAATGAGCGGTCCACTCAGTTTTTCTAGGACTTGAGATAATGAGGATGATGCTAGAAATAATGAAAGGATACCAGCATTAAAACATGAAAAATTGACTGAAGAAGAATGTTAGGCATTTCCTTTTCAGAAATAATAAGAGTAGCCTAATTTATTGCTCATCATGTTATATGGAGCTATTATTCACTACACAGGCACATCATTATTAATATCTTGTATTTCAGGTCTTTTGATTTTGTTTCATTATAATTAAGGAGATGGATCCTCAGCTGGTGTAAATTGGAGGAACTCAGCTGAGCTAGATGGAGAAATGTTGATTTATATATTACTTTAAAGAAAAGGGGGAGCAACTGAGTTCTTGCAAGGATGGAGATTAGCATTTGTTCCATTTTSTCACTCTGGTTGCTTCTAATTAGTAAATTGGTTGCTTCTAATTAATAAATTGCTTCTTTTCCATCTTTTTGAAATATCAGTGGTCAAAAGTACATAGCGTCTGTTGGCTGACTGCTACTAAGCAAACCATCCCTAGGAAACTCAGGACATCTGTCCTTGTTTATTCTTGCTCAAATTAAAACCGTTATTTCCATTTTCCTCTAACAAAAGTTGTCGTTCTTCCTTAAACATGACATTGTGTGATCCAAGACCAGAACAGCAGAACTATCCCCATCGCTCCCGCGGCTTCTGGCCTTCCCTGAATTGCTGGATGCCACGAGTGATGTTTTCTGGGGAAAACTGTGTTCTGAAAAGAATTAAAAAATATCTTCTTTTTTCTGCAATATAGAGAGTAATGACAAACAACCTTTGCAGAGATGGAGAGAATTAAAAAGCCCCTTATTTTCTTACAGTGGAGACTAAGTTGCTTCTGCTTCCTAGGCACGCGTCCAGACACCTGTTTCTCCTCTGGGAAAATGTGCRTATGAGTCCCTCTAATGGATGCTAAATGACAAAATCATTGTTTGGAGACTTGTGTTATTACATTGAACTTTTGTAATAACACTGCAGCATTGTTGTTGCTTTTGCTATTTGTCTCCAGGCAGGTGTTCAGATAGGACAGACAACTTTCAAATTAATACTTTTTCAGTGCATGACAAAAGCTATTCACTTGAAGAAATAGCTAATAAATTAATAAATTCCTTTACTGAATTAATATGGTGTTTAGAGTAATATAGCACTTTTCAGCCAATGATCCAAGTGGTCAGGTTATAACACATACTTTTACATAGTGTGAACATTCATCTAGGTAGCATCTTCAAGCACTGAACAGGAATCTGCTTGTGTAGCATTGGGTATGTGAGCTGCTTTTTGCAGGCTCATCAGTGACATCAGGAAAGCTCAGTGCTGGAGCAGGAAATTCTGCAGCCCTCTCTGTAACCMGTAACTGTGGTTAAACTTCTGTCGGTAGTAAAGCTGTGTCTTGCATGAAAGTGCTTTGGCAATTCTGTGAACGCAAGTGGCAAATGTGTGTGGTGTTCTAGTCTGCCTTGCTGCTCTCTGTAATCCCACTTGAGCATGGGTTTTTTTGTGTGATGTAGACAATTTTGGCTTGTATAGGTGAATGCCAACCTGGCACAGTAGAGCCTCAGATACACCTGAGAGGGATGGAAAGTAGGTCCTGAAATAGTTGCATGGTTAGTCACTGCTGTTTGAAAAGCTTGGCAAGTTTTACGATATGATTTGTTGAGAGTTTTCAGAGTCCACAGATCTCCTGAGCCCACAGACTGAATTTTAGAAAATATTTAATACTAGAAATCAGTTGAATTTTTAAAACCACTCCACTCATTTGCAGCACTAAATTGCAGCATACATTGTGGATTGCTTTGGTAATGCTTGAATCCTGCTGTGATGGAAATTACAAAGCTATCTAATAAGTTACATTTATTTTTAAAATTATAAAGTATTCCTTTCAACAAAGTTCAGAGTTGCTTGAATATGATATAATAAAAAGGAAGSTAAATATCTCTAATTCTCCTTTTGAAAGAAAGCGTAATCTCATCTGAAACTAATTTTCAGGCTCTATCTCACAGCCCATCTTAAGAAAAAGAAATTACTTGTACAATGTCTGTAGTTGAAAATTAATTTACTCACATATATCAGTTCAGTGGATTGATAGAACATGTTGATACTTTTGAGCAAATTGTTTTCCAATCTAATCAGTTGTTTTTTTCTCTATGCTGAGCTAATGCTGGTCCCAATACAGTAAAAATTAAAATCTCTTCTACAAGGAGAAAAGTTATCACAGTGCAGAGATCATTGGAAATGCCACCTTTAGCCTTTAACAGACAAAGAACTATTTAAGGAAGATAAAATCAACTCCCAATAAATTGCCCATGTCACCAGATTTTATTCACCTGCATGTAAGCGCTTGACCCTAGAAATGTGTTAGGATTAATGTTTACAATGACTCACATCTCCAGTGGATTTTGGATACTTGTTATTTTAGGTTAGATAATGAGGTTTGTCATTTAGGATAATTTTATTTGATGACATGACAAATGAACATAATGATCTTGATATCTGGAAAACATTATTCTCTGACTATGATTACATATGGGTGGCAGTTGCTAAACTAAGCAGTTTAAAGAATAACGCAGTTCAAAAGGAGCTGCAGAGCTCACTAAGAAGTGTCAGCTCTGGCACCACATAGATAAAATATATTTTCCTTTAAACTCCAGGCCTTAGACACTTAGGTGTCCATTATTCCTCTGCTACCTGTGTGTCTCACACTAGATGGGATACCTTCCTCAGAAGCTTCCAAAGAGATAGGGAACTGCTGTTTGGGGCAGGTAAAGAACACAAAGCTGCATGAGATGGTGTTTTGTCCAAAATTACACAGCTGCTCTATGAGAGGAAACAGCTGAAGCGATGTCCTAACTTGTGACTTCTTCTTCCACTTGAATCATCTCTGTTTTACTTCATTTTCTTAGAAAAGAGAAGAAGAAGAAAGACAAAAAGGTGAAGAACAAATACGACAGCAGGAGGAAATCCGGGCAAGAGAGCTGTATTTGAGCCTCAAGCAAGCTCAGCAGCACGGGCAGCACAGTGATAATGACCAAGAGTGGGAAGAACAGTGTAAGTAAAATCACCTCCACTGTATTAGTATATTTCTAAAAGCAAACAAAAGACAGCCTATAGGGTGGACTTGGGTGTCGGCACAGATATTGTCTACGCAAAACAATGAATAATGATACACTATTTTGCAGGAAACTATTCTCATAACTGGGAATTGCTATGAGTTTACCAGTTTTACCTACTTTTCTAAATAAGATTCTATGCCAATATCTTAGAGAAGTTTTTTCCAAGCAGCAATGATAGTCATTGAGTTTATTACTTTTTGTCTAACCTAAGTTGTTATGTTTTGCTGTAGCAATAATAAATCAGGATACCCTTACTCAAACAGCTTGTTCTTAGCCATCTCTGAAGAGGTAAAATCTGTCTGTATCTGTATATTAATTACTTTTATATGTTAATGCAACCAAGTGTACTATCACGCTGATAGACTGTTGTTTCAAAGGATTGATTAGATTGTTGCTCTGAAAAGGTCTTTGTAAGGGTACTGTGTGTATTGGTCCTGTTCATTTCAGACACCCTGAAATCTGTGTTAATATTACTATTGTGATTAACTTAAAAGTATGTCAGTCATCTTCCAAGCACATGAAGCACACAGTAGCACATGCAATTGACTGAGGTTACAGCACATAAAATGTGAGTCTACTCCATCTGGAGTCTGCTGTTAGTTAACTTTAAAAGTATGAAATTTCTGTTAGGAATAAGAATTGTGCAGGCTTGGAAAAAATAGAATGTTAGGAAAGCTTTAGCTCATGTGGGAYGTTGTGTTAATTAGAGATGACAGAGGTTAATCAACTAATGCTAAAAATGGAGTTTCAGGGAGCTGACATTATCTGTGTTGCATGAGATGCCTCATGAAACAGGCAGAAAATCTTGCTGTAGCGTTACTTATTTTTTGACAGGAGTAAAAGAAATACATCAAGATACGTGATGAGTTTATTTTATCGCTTTAGTCATTACTTCAGGAGGTGCTGAAGACTAATTACTCAAGTGCTATTACCTGCTATTGATGGGGTAGTGAATCATTCAGTACAACATGAATTATACCCAAATAGGACACACTGTTACCATTTCGCAAGCTGATAGCAGGATATGCACATTTTTGATCAATAAAACTTCTATATATTACATTGTCAGTAAAGGGARGGTAATTATTCCCTGGAGAATTATCTAAATCCAGCTGTACCTGTTTATTCTGAAAGGAAAATTGTAGATTTCTGTAGTTTGGATGTATAAAAGTAGAGTGGCTTGGTGGAAAAAAATATAACTCCTTAGTTTTATGGAGAAWGAGTCTTTGTCCATTAACATCGGTTGGCAACCTCACACATATTGTGCTTGGGTATTTTTCAGAGAGTAGCTAAAGAAAGAGTGCACTTATAACTGTGATGTTAAAAACACCCTATTTATTACAGAATTTGATAACAGAAATTTCATAAACATCATTAATAGCTGTTTTTGTAGTTCAGTAATCATTTTACACACTGAAGTTGTAACTGAGCGTTTAAAACCATTCACTCTACTTTTTTTTTTTTTTTCAAGGAGAAATGATTGTAAAGGGTGGATTTTAGAAATGCAGTATTAGTGTTGTGGTAGGAGCCAGAAAAGCAATGAGATACTGAAGGTTTTGACCATGATTCCTGCAAGGGAATTGTTAAGTCTCTCAAAACGCTTTCAGCTTTATCAGCTTCTGACAAGTATCATCTGTGGCTATTAATTTTTCTCGAGGACCCATTTCTTGGACAACTTCATGTGCTTGGAAGGAATTGTGAGCTCTGGTCTGGTGTTCTGCCCATCGCAGCCTGTGCTTCACTCCTGGCTGACGGGTCTGTGCATCACAGAAAGGGCACCTCGCTGTTGCTTGGAGCTGTCCAGCCTGGCCACTGTCAGCAGCCTTGTTGTTGCTGCCCTGGCCAAACGAGCTCAGGAAGTGCTTGGGTTTTGCAGCCTGCTGTAAGTTCTGTGCTGTCAGGGTTTATGCTGTTGTTAGCAATTGATTTAGTGTTAAACTGTATGCAGAATAGTAGCTAGTGCGTGTCACACTGCTGCTTATCCTCGTGTGCTCAACTCGGTGTCTCAGTTTATCCTAGCTAGTTTGAGGGCTGAGATCAGTTAGTAAATGCGTGTAAATTTAAGTTATGAAGATGAAGTGTTTCATGCCTCAACTCAGACCACTTCCTGCACTGGTTTAGATGATGCCGTCAGGCTCCATATCAAACCTCTTGAGCAGGGAGCACAGCTTCGGTATCCCACAGTTAACTGAAAAAGCYAGAACAGCCACAGACCATCAGTATCAAATGGGAATGGGAACGATCTTAGGTTCACCAGATTTTTCACATTGAATTCTGTTCCAGGCAGTTACTTTTTCTCCTTTTATGGTACTCTTCTCATTTTGTTTTCAAATATTCTTTTGGACCACTGAGAGGAAGTTGAGTCAAGATAGGCAGAGGAAGTTGAGTCAAGATAGGCTGTCAATTTATCATTTGTTTTTCCAAGCAGTAAACAGATGCATGAATACATGAGAGGCACAAGCAGATGTAATATTAACATGTCTTTGTCTCTCCACAACTGCAGTGAAAACCACATGGCATGTTAGGAACAAGGCCAAGCTCCTTTGTGTCTTCCCTCCTTGAAGTCAGCCCCTCATATTCAACAGTGCTGGGGTCAGTACTGCAGAGGAACAGCAGGGCTGGWGTAGCTATTGTGGAGAGCGAACGTGGCAATGATATTGATGACACTACTGATTTATTCAGTAGATAGAATTTAAAATGTGATGAGGATTTGTCTCTCCTCATCATGTTATCCCTCAGCAGGTTTTTGCCAAGGCAATAAGCAGAGCGTTGCTAATATTAGTTTGTTTTGTTCAGTTCAGCTTGCTTTTGTGTCTTGCCTGATTGTGCCAAATAACAATAAAAGCCCTTAGAACAGTTGTGTTAATTGAAATACATAATTTTAGTACTTGTAATATACTGGATGACAAACATGGAGTAACTTGAGTAAGCAGTGCTACCAGGAAAAAAAATGATACGGGAAGAGTAATTATATACTTAGATTTCACATAACGGATACATGCAGGGTGTTTTAGAAGACAGTTGTGAGCTGATATATGGGGCAAATGAGGAGATGACCAGTGGAAAAGATTCTTTCAAAAATTCCTCTATTCAAAGTTATTCTGTGAACCTGAAAAATGAGCTAAGGCTAAACTTACACTGTGGAAGGTATGTATTTTACTTAGTTTTGGATCTTTCTATGAGTTGCTCCATTTTTGCACTCAGTAAACAATACCAAGTGCCACAGTGTCCAAGTGTGACCTACTTCCTTTGCATGAGAACAGAAAAGGGATTTGCAAAACCTAATGGGAAAGGCCATAGTATACCTCCTCATCTGCTTGAATAGTGCAAGAGGCATTCTGCTAGGATGCTCGCAAGTCCCTGCAAGCTGTAGCAAGCAATGGAGTGCTCAGAAACCATCTGATCAGCTCTGCTCGTCTCCAGACGGCCCGTGTTCCAGTAGAAATATGAGCTGAGTTGAGTGACTTTCTCTATTCTTACATGTTTTCTTGAGCACCTATTCTTGGTCTCTGTTGGAGATGGGATGCCAAACCAACTTCTTATAGCTTCTGTTATGTTTGTACTCTGCTACAGTTGTAAATTTGCTTTTATCTGAATTTTGGAAGATATAAGGGTTTTTTTGGTACCTGCCTTTCATGGTAATTCAAGTGTTTTTTTTTTTTTAACTGACAGGAGCATTTGATGAAATGCTGAAATTTAAAGTGAGTAGTCCCCAGTTCAGCTATGCCTTACATAAGGAAATGCTTAACCTTAAGCATGTGCTTGTTGACTTCAATAGGTCTCAGAGTGCTTTGTTGAATAGCAATGGGATTATCCAGATGCTTTCAGATAAAAAAAGATTGCTGAGATAGAGCCATATTGCGGAATGTCTGTGGGAAGTTATTTTCCAATTAGAGAACAGAAAAACACCATGTGATTTGCATGTGCACTCAAAAAAATTGAAGCTTGAATTTTGTCCATTAATCATTTTGTCTATTAATCGTGTGTATAATCCTAGTCATTTTCAACTGGTTAACAAACTTCAGATCAAGAATTATTAGCAAGCGTAAAGCTGAAGCAAACTCATTCGAAAATGAGGACATATTCATGGGGCATTTTTTTTTTGCATCCACCCAGCTCTGACTAAAACACTACAGCTCTTCTAAAACACAAAATAGATCATAGAAAATGGACAACTCCTTGTCTTGCACGAATGATATGACTCAAGTTCAGGCCCAGTATAGTGTGCATTAATCCATATCCCTGTCAAAAGATTTGGTATTAGACCTTTGCTAGGACTGCAGATAGATTTCCCAATCCTAAATGGAAAGAGAGAAGGCAAAGTTGTGCTTTTACTCAAGGTGTAGAAAAAATAAAGCCTCATAAACTGCACTAGATAAAGGTCAAGTTAAGACATGTAGGATCAGAACAACTATTGCATACACAAACTTTGTAACATTCAAGTTAAAGTTGTTCATCTGTAGTAATTCCAACAGTATAATTGTGACAGCCCAGGACTCACTCTGGGTGCTTTTACCAGTTTCCAGGAGGTTTTCAAACCCATTTTTGGACCTGCAATAATGCAGCTACAATCTTATTGGTACATGATCGATATAAATTAAGTTAGGCCAATTATTTCTTCCCAAATTACAGTGCTTTTGGGCAGAAATGTGCTTAGCTATACCTAAACTGAAGGAGGGTGTCCCTGGTTGCTATGTCCATATTTGAATAAAAGACTGGTCATAGGTATACATTCATGAAAACAGGCTGAACTGTGAATTTCCTATGCAGGCTTAGTACTCAAATCAATSCCATTCATCATTCCAGATCTTGACAGTCTTGATATTCTGTCCTAATGCAAAAGGAAGATGAAGATAACATAAATTATTTGTAGTAATTCTTGGTGCTAGATAGATGGGCCTATTGTGATGATCCATGTATTTAAAGGAAAGGGATAATGCGCAGTTATCTAATCTCTCCACTGGCAGTTATTGACTAAAATTTGATGCTTTGCACAGGGCTTGCAGCAGAAACGTGCTTCCTGTAAAAYAGGATAGCTTCTGGCAACTAGTCAAGAATAATGATCTATTCCTACTTCCCATGGTACTAGAAGCCTTTAACTACTCCTGCTTTCCTATTGTGAGAAAGGCTATGATGTAGCCTGAAATGTAACAGTAAATGTAGAGTTAGTGGCAGATTTGAACTTAGAATATTAGATTTGATCCAAGTTTCTAAAAAAAAAAAAAAAAAAAAGACTGATAAATTTAGAGAGAGAAAGGTAAGCGTTCACTAAATTCCCTTGCCAGAAAAAAATGTCTCCAAATTTACCTCCAGACTTGAAGGAGTGACTGTGTGACTGTCTCAGTACAGTGCAAACGTGTGGGAGCTTTGTGTGCAAGAGGCTGCCCACACAACACACACCGTCTTGCCTGGGGTGCAATGGAAAAGCTTTTGTAGGTTTTTGACAGCAACGATGGGCTGAATCTTCATCTGCATTACTCGTTTTAGTCGCCAAACCTGGTTATTGATGACAGGGGCTTTGATTTGTTGCCTCATATGAAGTCGCTAGACCAGAGAGGTTTGAAAGAGAGTTAGGTTGGGATGTTGTGGTAGCAGTGATCCCCAGGATGAGCTGAACTAGGTGTCTCCTAAAGATAGAGAATTGTGAGCGGAGAGAGAGAGGGGGGGGCGGTTTTGGCAATAAATAACTATAAGGAGTGGCAAAATCCCTCTATGAACTGAAAACTGCATTGAGAGACCCTAGGCATCCTATGGTCAATAATGTGATTCTTCAGTCACTTTAGTTGTATATGCATATCAAAGGCATGCAGACTTTCCTAGCCCTACATAGACATGTGCATATATATATAGCATGTATGCATTATACAAAGAACAGTTATTACTGAATTTCTGGCTTCTCATTTGCAAAGGATAAATTAAGGGCAACTTGTAAGTAATATTCTTGAACCACCGAAGTAACATATTTGGCTGAGATAGTCTGCCTCTAAAAATCATGACCTCTAGCACAGTGTTTCTCAGTTTTCTCATGCCTATAATAGGCTTGTTATTGGACTTAGCTAAAACTGCAGGGTAAATGTTTAGTAAGTGAAACTGAAATTCTACTACTTGTATACATTAGAAACATCTGTGATTGATTTATTCCAGTATCTTGGTTGGTTTTTGGKTCAGTAGGAAGTTACCTTCCTACCTGTAACATCACTATGTATCTGCAGATCTCAAGGGTTTTTCCTCATTCTCTCATTTGCCTGGAGTGTTATGTTTTATTTCTTTATTCCATTAAAATTTTCCATAATTTGGATAAATCCACTTCTTTTGCTTGCTTTACTTCAGGAGAATAAACCAGAGGCATGCAAACAACCTAGTGAAATGTAGCTCTCTGGTATTATATCATGCATTCCTACTCGCAGGTACAAGCACGGCAGAGAGAGAAATACTGTGCGTGTGCATTATGAATTGGGTATGATCTGAGCCAGGATAGGCATGGCAGGATTGATAATTGCTACTGGAGGCAATAGCTTGTTTTTTTAATATTTGCTTTGCTGGATGTTAAAGGTTTGTTTTGCACTGGAATAATTTGACTGCCTGAAGTTATTTGTGTCTCAAAAAATCATCAAAACGGGGTTTGAGGCACCAGGAAAGAGCTGATAAATGACAAATTTGTAGTACAATTCTTGGTGCATTTAATTTATCACATTTGGAAGTCAGGATTTTAGCACATTATTTTTCAAAAGAAGAACCTTTAGTGAAAGATACCTGATCCATCGTGGCCAAGGAAGCAGTCTCATTATCTGGAGTTATGGAAATTAGGCTTGATTTACATATGTAAACCTATGGTCAGTGCCAATGATAGGTGTGTGTTAAATCTTCCAGTACACATYGTTTTGTTTTGKTTTTTTTATATCCAATTTTGGAGTCTTGTATATAGTAGAATCTCATCCATAGCAGCAGTTTGCCCTTTCTAATGGTAGTTCATTTGCTTATCATTACTCGACCCTTTTTTTAGATTAGAATTTTAAAAATGGAGTCTTCTGTGACTTTATTTTAARTATTATAGAGCAGATAGTATCTTCTACTCTTACCAAAAAACTTGTAAATATATAATATCTACATATATTTCATGTGTATATGAAATAGCTCCTGCCATTCTATTTAAGTGGATAGTTGCAATGAGTTCTGCTAAGCACAAGCTTAAAATTAAGCAAGAGTTCATATTCTCCTCTGAAAGATAAACCTGGTTTACCTCCAATGGAAAAGATGTCCGGAAGGAAGAATTTCTCTTAAGAGAACCAAAGCAAGTGTCAGATCTAATTGCAGTGTGTAGGGGCTCAGTGGGGTTTGCTTATCTATATTACATCCAGTCTCTGTTATTGCCAGTGCAGATCAGCCCGGTGCCGGTTCCAGTCTAGTATGTCTTTTTCTAGTGCTAGGCCTGCATGTATGAAACAGGCTTATCTGCTTCTCCATCTGTTCGATGGTGCACTACAGTTTGAATGTTCTTAATATCAAGCAATAAAGGGACCAGAGATAATGAACTGTTCCACCAGTGGCCATCTGTGTTTCTAAAACCTCCTTTCCTGCCCACACCCTTTCCCTTCCTCGCCCTCAGTGCGTCGCTCCAAAGCTGCAGATGAGGAGAGGAGCCACCAAGCGCGCCGGGCCCGGGACGAATACCGGCGACAATCCTTGCGAGCCATCCAGAAGGGAAGAGTGGCCGGACTGAGTAATTTGTTCAAGGGGACGAGCCTGAATAATGAGCCGGAGGCAAAACTGAACGACAGTCCAAGCCCTTTGCTGTCTCTCGCTGTTCCATCCAGGTTTGTTGATTACAAGTGAGAGGAGTCCTTAAAAAGTCAATCATTAGCAAGTTTGTGATAAGGAGAAAGTGAAAGGCAAGTCTTAACCCTCAAGCCTAATAATACCTGTCACTTAACTGCTCATTGACACTTTTTACAGATCAGTCAATCTCCTATGTCTTAGGTTGGTTGGGTTTTTTTGTTTTCTTCAGGCAATATAATGAGTCTTTGGTATTTCTTGTCTACTGACCTTTCAAAAGACTATGTAGGGAGCCCCATGGATTCCAGAAGAGTGAAACAGTCCAACCTGGCAAATGGGGTGCTTCAAAGTTAATAAGTCGATCCTGTTTACATCTCATAGCATTAATTCAGTTTCATATTCTGATAAAGGTAATGTGAAGACTGTCAGGGCATCACCACTAAATGCTTAAAAAAAATGCCAATAACAAATACTCAGAAATGAAAATCCACAGAAAGTCCAGAAATGAAAGAGTCTATTTCCTTTAAGTTTGTTTTCCTTTTCTGTACCAGTACTGGTGCTTACCTTTCCTTTATGTACTGGTGCTTACCAGAGAGAACCAGTTCCCTAAGATTTGGGAATGACCAAATGATACAGTGAAACTGTAGCATGGGTAGACAAACCATGTGAGCCTTCATCTAATTCATCTGAAGAGCAGTAATGAAAATTTGGTAATTTGGGCTAAAAAMCGAACCCTGAGAAGCTCGAGGGGTTTCAAATTGTACAGAAATCTATTCTAAACACTCCCTTTTACTGCTGTTTTTGATAAATGAACTTGTGTAACCATGAAGCAGTCTTAGCTGAGCTAGGCAGGTGCATTTCTGCATATTTTGCCTTCTAGGCTTCCTCCTAGCTAATTAAATTACAATGAATATAAAGTAGCAGAAGCTGTAAAGAAGGCTCACAAATGGAGAGTGCAAAGGACTATAAGACAGTTCRAACAAAATGCTCTATCTGGTTCTGTGGTTTAGATGCACGTAGCCGATTCCAGTTCAGAACGTCCTGCTGGTGCAAAGGAGTATACCCTAAGGAAAAAACACGCTTTGTTTGTCAGTCAGGGAGTTGGAATAAAAATGAGGAATAGGAAACTTGACTGAAATGTCCATKGCATATTTTGTGGTAAATTGTTTTACAATTGTAATTCCCTGCTTAATAAAATATTTAATGTTCCATTGTAAATGTAAAAGCAAAATATTCTGTTTTTAGTTGAAAAGAATGTTAAAAAGTATTTTAAGGTTAAATTTGTTCAAAGAACTATACTGAACAGCTGTTACAATAAATATCCTTTGTTAAGTTGTATAAATATATACAATACAGATTTTTTTTAGATTGTCCCTTGATTTACRCTGTTAGTTCTTTAGATGACTGTATTTTGTAATTATTTCCTTTTTAATACAGTAAAATTTGGGAGCGTCCCTCTAGACCCTTTTCCCGAGAAGTCATCATTCACTGGTTCAAAGAAGAGCAGCTTCCTCGACGTGCTGGATTTGAGAGGAACACCAACAGGATTGCTACGTGGTTTCACGGTAATCCTGCTTTTGATTTTCTCATATAATAGAGCTGGGGGAGACTTTCAGAAAGTTGATYTTACCACCTTTCCTCACAGAAATGAATGTCTACTGGGACTGTGAGGTCTCGTGCTTCATGAAGCAACGTTTTTGCATCATTTTTTTAATTAGCATATGGCTTTCCTAATTCTGATTAAGTAGTGTATTTTGTGACTTATATCACCAAAGTTTTAYAGGAATATTTTGACCAAAAAATTGTGTGCAGTAAAATAAGAAGTCAAGCAGGAAGAATGTGGCTAATATAGGGTGAAGAGCTTTTCTTTGAACTAGAGTTTTCCTTTCAAATCTCTGTCCAAGACATGCCAAATAAACAGAAAGTTATCAGTCTTCCCCATGTGTTGAAGAATTTGGCCAAATTCTATCACAGGTCTCAGCAGACAGCCATAGTTTTCAGATTCCCACAGACATACGCTGTTGTGGGGAGAATTCCTTTTGGCAAAGAAAATACAGAGTTAATCTTTCTGTAAGTGTGCTATTTTTTTTCCTCTGTGCTATAAAAAAGGATTCCGGAGACTCAAATAGGTGATACTGCTTCSATGTGTTTTTCCATGTCTTAGAACCTTTCTCTCTTGCTTGAAATCTCCTTTAGCATGTGATAGTTYTTACTGACCAGTATTCCCACTGGTCTGTAAGCTGTTACTTTGAAAGAAACTTCAGGTATGTCAGATTTCCACTCACGTAATCGTGTTCTGCTTTTGGTTATTTCCTACTGAGAAAAATAGGAGAGTGTCAATGTTTGCACAGGAGACGTGAACGGTAAATATTTTGCTATGCTTAGCTAAGRCTATAATTTTATGATTATTGATGTTTATCCACATTATATCAACGGAATCTCTCAGATATATAGTAACTGCAATATAATATGGCAAATTGAGGAATTTATACATTGTCTGTGTGGTGAGTCTATGGATATTTGCTAAGTATTTGCTGTAACATTGTCAGATCTCTACTTGCCTTAAGATTGAAAGGAGGTCCAGAGGCTGACATCACAGATGCAGAAACACAAAAAAGTTGCCCTGAAGGTTGTACCTTTAAAATACAATTGCAGTAGTGTGGTTCCTACTGAAAAGTATTTAGTAGATAGGAAAAGTCAGGGCAGCTCTTGGCTAAGGAGTGCCAAGCTGCGAGGGAGCTGATCAGGACAAGTTGAAGGATGGACTGAAAAATGCTGAGAAGCAGAAGCTGAGTGAACTTCAGGCCAGAGGAGCCAGGGAAAGACCATTTTCAGCTCAGCAATATCATATTACCAGTTTCAGGAGATCAAGGATTAATTTCCAAAGGCTAATATTGTTTTCAAGAAGAAACTTCCATGTAGGTACCCCCGCTCAGGAAGCAACTCTAGCGGACTTAGAGTAAGAATGGTTGTACAAATCAGATATTGTCAAGTGACAAGATTTAAGACTAGATATTTCCAGAAGTCTACTACATTTGAGCACATCAGTGTTCTCTCTTGAGTTTGCAACCAGCAACAACGGTAGGTAAGTGGCTATAGCTGATCTGTAGAAGATACAGCTTATAAAATACAGCTTGTATGCAGTATTTGCTGAGGAAAACAAATATGGTAATAGTTTGTTTTGAAAAATATCTAAAAGTCAATAGTTTGCTCCTTTGAATAGAAAAGGACTTTTTTCTTCTGCTCTTGAATAAAAACCTTTCAATCACTGAATAAATGGACATTAGGAAGATGTGAAGCACATGTTGTCCAGAGAAATACACTTTGTGATATTAATGGTCTATTTTTCAATTCATTACTTCATTATGTAGCTTTTATGTCTGTTTGAGAAAGTGCACAGATAATTTCTCTGCCTGTATAAATTGAGCTCAGGAAGTCTGGGATTTTATCTTCCTTCCAAAACTGTTGTTGAGAGATACTTTATGGGGAAAAAGATATATGATCTTTAAAAAAAAAATTCGTCTGAATTCTGTGAGAGCCTTTCTGCTTTCTTCCATAAGCCTTGAAAGAGGCATTTAATAAATAGCTGTGTGCAAAGCTTGTTTTTTAAAGTATCTTGAGCTCCAGAAGCATCTGGAAAGGAATTGGAGAATAGCTAAATTGAATGATATTTGCAGGACAGTTGTGGGTCTATATTTTATGCAAGAATATGCATAAAGGTAAAGTGAGAGGTTTAAAAAAAATTATAAGATAATGAAATTTATTTTGACTAATTGCCTGAGAACAGAAAAAATATTTGGCTTAACAAATATATATTAGACCGTGTCTTACTGTCTTTATTGACACAATAGTCTACTATCAGAACAGGGTCTGTTATCAGTCTACTGTTTCCTCTACCAGCCTATCCTCAAAGAGAAGGAGCTGATACAGTCCTGGCAACAGTTTAGAATATCCAAAGACTTGGTGGCTTGCGACTACTGGTGGGATAGACCTGCATCAACACAGGTTGACACTTTTTGCTACCTTCATGGTTTTGCGTAGCACAAGTAACAAACAAGTTATCCTCAGTTTTAGTTATCACTCCTGTTCCATATGGATTTCTCAAAAAAAAAAAAAAAAAAAAAAAATTTACCTTTGCTGGGAATTTTAGTGGTAAGAACAGATACAGAACACGTATCTGTACCTGTACAGAGACTTGCAGGAAGAACAAATAGGGAACAAGTTCTGTATCTGGAACAAGGCTGGCAATCCTGTGCTGAATTCAGACACAGAGCTGAACAACATTCCCATCGCAGTAGTTGCGTGGGATGAATATGAGCCCTCTGTGCTGACAAGTAGTTCTCCTGTTCACCAAAGGAGACAAATCAGGCTGGAAAATCCAAGTGTCCGGCTCTTGAAGGACACGTGCCAGGCTCAGCCTGTTTTTGCACTGTGGCCTTGAAATAGTCATCAGACTATAATTATACTTGTAAGTAATAAGTAGTAATATATATGCAYATCGTTATACCGGAGTAGTACAGAAGAACTGGTTTGTGCTTGCAGGGCTATATACATTCTATATGGATGGATTTACCCATAGGTATGGGTAAACAACTCTCAGTTGTTTATTTGCTGTGGGGTGATATACTGTGTTTCACGTCACCAAAACAGATCTGACAATATCTTTCAAAGAAGCACAGTATTTGGAGTTAAATGTTTGGGTCCTGTGGTGGATGCTAGTATTTGATTAGGGGCATTTCCAGTCAAGTCAGACTAGCAATTTAAGACAAAACTCGGATGCTTCGTCAGCTCTAATTTGGTTCTCAACTTCTCCCCTAAGAAATGAGAGGTGTTTTGCTGTGTTCTTGAAATAAGATGATCCTTCATGTACTAGGTCGCCCCACTTAGCTCATAATGATTGCTTTAGTCTGTCAGTTCTTTTGAAGCCTTTGGAATTGTTTTTCTAGTGCCATTACAGTTCCAAAGTGTCTACACAGACAGGTTATTAGCAAACAAAATAAATGTTTTAGGCTCATGCCTTTCTTTCATAGGGAACGGAGTATCAGAGTGAGGTAATGTGAGCTGCAGCTCATAGCAAGGAGAACGGAAACACAAAAGAACAGCAGGGAAATTGTAGAATGAGGCAATTGAATAATTAATGTAAAAAGGCTAATTACTAATGTGAAATGAGCTTTCTTATTCTTTTACAGTACATTGTCCTTCATGTCTGCTCTTAAACTGGAAGCTATATTCCAAAGATGTAGATGAGATAAATGTGCACTTTTCCTAAACAGACCTTATAGGCAGTAAAAATGTAGTAAAAATTATAGAGTGTGCRACCACAGTAGTGGAAGCAAGTTTGACAAAGGGTTGGCAGTTCCAGGGATACAAACAGGTCAGGTGCAGGGTCTATATATTGCACTGTTAGAATAAAAACAAAACAAAAACACTAAAAAAAAAAAAAAAACCTGTACGTCCCCCTAGATGAGAAAGAATTTGTGTCCGTTGAAGCTTGTGCCAGAGTATTCTACATACTTGAGAAATATGCCCCAACTTTTTCATAGAGATTGCTTCCAGGTGAGCTCACTAATCTCCCAAGAGAAAGTATTTTGCTTTTAAAACYAAAATTGGTTTGCATCCTGGTAACTCCTTGTTTCCTTTGTTTAAAAGACTTTTAATGATTTTTTTTCCTTTTTGTGCTCCTATAAAGCAAGACATARTAAGCAATTTTGTTTTCATTTAATAGGCACAGTGGTGGCTTAGTCTATTTACCTGTAAATTTACATTACTGTTCCATGTTTTCATGATCTGTTTCCCCATTGAATTAGAATGTAGGTGACTATTATTGCAGCTCCCCAGACTTTTTTTCACATTACATAAGATAAAGAGATATTTCTGAGCTGAAAGCACTACTGTTCATATTTATAATTGGTAAATCATTTGTTTAATGAAAGAAATGATATAAGAACATGAGTTATTTAGGAGAAATCATCTATAAAGACTTAAAAGGAATCCATTTTAGAGAAAAGGAGGCAGATTAGCTGAAAGCAGAAAGAGCTAACATTTACAAAGTTTGGTTGTCCTACAACTAGAAGACATTGTGATTGCTTATGGTACCAATGAGAAGGCAGAATGGTTTCTGTCCAACCACCTGAATCTGATCTGTGCTTCGCTTTTACATGTATTGTAGTTCATTCCGAAGACACTGGATCATGTTTCTTTCATTTCTGTYGTGTATTTTTAATTGATTAGTTTAACCATGCCCAAATAGTGTTTAAGTTATTATCAGCAGATGATGTTCAGCTGATGTGTGTTTTTGGAAATGCTCTGTGGATTGTTCCCCAATCCGCACATCCCACTCCGTAGCATCCTGCACGTGTCCTGTGGAGAACCTAGTTGCTCTTGTATGAACTGCAGGCATCCTGCTTATTTTCATCCCATRTTTAGCTATTTACCAGCATCTCCAGCTCTTGTTACTTGAGGTGCACARTTACAATAGTAGACTTCACATTTTCCTGGCTTCCAGATCTTTTCTCAGCTTGCACCAGGCTAAGTTACCTGCAGTAGTTTGTTTAAAGCACAGCAA